TTAAACAGTGACTTTTACTGCTGATGATGCAAGACTCTTCGTTTAAACGAATCGAGTTCTCCGGTTACTGGCGTGTTTGTCTAAAAATAAATGTCAAAATCCATCTTCATCCCTGCCGTGTATCAATGGCTTAAGGGTAAATTCTCCGACTGATTCCAAATCAATCGTGTTTCGATTCCGGCTTGAGGCAATCGGATGTCTAGCCACACTGATGAGCTGTGAAAGAGCGAAACAATCTGTTTGTGTATGACAATATGCTTCTGAAAAAATTTATTTCGGTTGATATCTCTGGGGAGGAAGTGTGGGTTTGTAAACAGTGACTATTACAGCTAATAATGCAAGACTCTTCGGTAAATCGAATCGAGTTCTCTCAGTCACTGTGTGTTTATCTAAAAATAAATACGCTTAAATTCACCTTCATCCCTGCCCAGTGCCAATGACTTAGTGGTAGAATCTCCGACTGAAATTAAATTTATTCTTCGTTGACCCTATGTATATCCTATCAGTGTTAGGACATAGTGTCAACGAAGAATAACTTTAAAATTAGATGGAGGCAACACAAGAGATCCTTCAACAATTTTCAAAATAGTAATCAGACATCTCTATCCCAATATTTCTGGCATTTAAAAGAAACGAATAAAACAACAAAAGTAAAATGGAAAATAGTAAAAAGAACAAGAAATTGTAAAACCTGGGATGACCCATGCCCTTTATGCCTACACGAAAAACTACACATCATTAAGTTTCTAAATAATGAAAAATTATTAAACCATAGGCAGGAGTTAACGGTTTTTTGCCGACATTAACAAATTTTCGCATTAAATAATTAGCATAAAAAAAATCCCATAGTTTAATAAAAGTCTTAAAAGCTTAGCCAAATCATTAAAAAAAAACCCTTTCTGTAGTCGTCAAAAAACAAATTGAAATTCAGTGTAATACGGTTTGTATATAAAACACCCACTTGAATAAACAAATAAATAAATAGATAATCAGATGGACAATAATAAAACAAAATCCTCCCGACACATAACGACTTGTAGGCGCGCCATAAAAATATCCCTCACTGGGAACTAACTAGAGGATGACCGACAACATTAGCCTTGAAATAGATACCCTACCCAACAAGAGCAAAACCTCTCAGAAGATGATGAATCTATAGATAAGAATTAACTCTCTGACCACTTAACCACGATGACTCGCCTAGCCACTCCCACAATAACGAATGTTATAACGAACCATGCCTAAAAACACACGTAAACCAAGAGATAGCTTATTCCTAAAATTTCGCTTGAAGATGAAACGGGACTAAACACCTCAATTCAACTTAATTTTAATAATTATTTGGATGGTTTTGGCTCTCGTTTTTGAAACATGAGAACTCTTATGTAGCGAAGGAATCATATTTTTAAACAAAAAAATATATAATATAAGCTCTACTTCTGTATGGAGCACTGTCTTCTTAAAAATAAAAACAAAAATACTAAGGAACTCTGGATTATGCACCCAACGTGTTCTTTTCTATTTTTTTCCTGCATATATATATATATATATATATATATATATATATATATATATATATATATATATATATATATTGCATTAAAAACGACAGACAAGGTACTACGGTTAAGCTTTTTTATTTTTTCTTGTGTTCGAACTAGAACTTTCTTTTCTGAACAAAGACTGTGTAATAATGGCCAAATTACGGTTACACAACTACATGCTTATCCAGACGGTTTACGTTACATCTATCTGATCAAAGCTCCATTAGAACCCATTTAAACACACACACAAATTTACCAGAATCCATTAGGAACATACTAGTAGAAAACAAATATATTAACTGCATCCACCTGCAAAAAAAGACTAAAAATAATGGAAGCTTTAATAATAAAAAGAGAAAAAAAACAACTCTTAACATGATTAACTACGAACAAGGCCACAATGCGCTAACCGTATTCGGAAATTAAAACACCCCTACTACACACTAAGACATACACAGAACGCACACACTCAAGTAAGTTGAAAAATCGAATCATCCTTGATAACGGCTAAAGCGAAAAATCGAATCATCCTTGATAAAGCCGAAAGCACTCGGAACTATAAAACATTTGGACAGTTTTTGCACACCCTTTGTCCAGAAAAGAAAGCTCTTGTTCGAACACAAGAAAAATTAAATAAAAAGTTTAACCGTAGTACCTTGTCTGTCGTTTTTAATGAAACATGCAAAAACGAAGGATTGCTGCCTAAATATATAATTATATATATAACTATATATATATATATATATATATATATATATATATATATATATATATATATACACCGTTGTGCCTTTGCCTCTATGTCCCAGAGGTAACTAAAGTATTTGGCATCAATTTAAATATTTGATATACGAATATGTCTCTGAATAAAATTAGTCTGCCGGAAATACTTATATGTATATAAATTCAAAGTTAGGTTTATGATATATATATATATATATATATATATATATATATATATATATATATATATATATATATATATATGATTGAGATTTATTAAAGAAAATGCTTTTTACAAGTTGCAACTGAAGTGTTTGAATAGACAATAATAAATTTTTGTGCCAAATTTTGCTTCTTTCTGAAGTTCGAAACTCAAAGGATGTATAAGTTCCCCTCTATTTTCTGCCACTCTCTCTTTCTTCCCCGTTAACTCTATCTCTCTTACTGCTGTTATATTGCTTCCTCTATCTAGCTGTCTTTTTATATCTATCTTTTTTTTTTAATTCGGTATCACCCCATGCAAGACAATAAAGCCACTAAGACACAAGGGGTGATGAGGAAAAATTTTTCCATTGATCTATCTTTATATAGCGATTGACCTTGTATTTATTTTTGGAGATAAAAGTTGGCTGGAAAGCATGGAGTCCAAAGGGAGTTCCACAAGCGAG